CAATCAGAGCTGAGAAAGATGGGTAATTGTTGAGTCTCAGTCCTCAAATACAGATGTTTTGGAACCCTTATTTAAATTAGAAGCACTAGGAGGAGCCAGAGGAATTGGATTGTTTCAGATAACCTCTCTCGTGTTCTACTCCCTGGATATAGTGAAAGTTTCAGCAAATATGTCAAAAGGTTGTTTTTGCAGTAACCCACTGCAGCTTTAAGGCATGACAAAAACATGAAATCATACATGATTTGTCGCCACGTCTCAACAGTTTCTACAGCAGATTTTTTGTTTCCACCTCTAACAGAACATACTAAATATAGTTGTTAATGGTTTAATTAATTTACATTAAGTTGTCAAGAGAGCCACCTTTCAGATGGATGAACCTAAACTTTGGGGGGACAGTTATACTCACAGCCTGTTTGGTGGACTTGCCACCAGCCTTTAGGTCTTTGAGTTTCTTTTCCTGCTTGTCGTACTGTTTCTGCAGTTCTTTTTGCTTCTGCACATACATCTTCTTGAAGGTCACTTCAAAAAAACAAAACAAAGTAATTGGTCAGCTTGGTCAGTTTTCAGCTGTGTCTGTACTACTAGCCCAGTCCTGCTAGTTTTCCACCATATTTCAACACTCCCCACTGGGCGGCGACAGTCTATTAATTCTCTATATCTAAGTGATGTAATTATTATAAGTTTATTCCATTCTAACTGGAAGAGAGCTACAAAAATGTGTAATTAAACTTGGATTTCAGATCTATTAAAAAGGTACACATTCTCCTACTTAGGGGGAATTGAACTCTTAGCAATAAAACAGGAAACAAAAGAGTGAAGAAGTGAAAAAGATAAGGAAATGAAAAATGAATCTTAAGCACAACCATCAAAATATATAAAGATGGATGTTGTGTCCAGTACAAAAAAGAAGCCCTTATATTCTGGATAAAGCCACTGCCATCTTTTGCCATTTGGAGACAGAGTCTGCACAGTGGGTGGCGCTGTGGTATCAATGTCCCACCACTGTCCCATCTCAAACTAATTCAAACATCACTTATTCGAAAAATTAACACTTGAACAAACATCGACGTGATAACAACTATCAAAAATACCAGAAACCATCTTTGGGAAAATGTTATTTTATGTGTACATTGATGTTTAGTTTGTCCCATCTGCCAATATGGCTTTATGACCTATACTGCAGCCAGCCACCAGGGGGTGATCCAGATGTTTTGGCTTCACTTTTGGAGAGCAGTCATGTCGTCCATCGATAAACTCAACACATATCTACAATCAGTGAGGATACTTACAGTAGTTGCCTCTGTAATAGTAGAGTTTCTGGTTGTCTAAGTGGATGATATCTGTACACACATCGTCAAGGAAACTCTGGTCGTGGGAAACTATGAGGAGAGTCTTCTTCCAGCCTTGAAGGTAGCTGTAAGTAGGAAAGAGAACATACATCTCTAAAAAAGGACCAGCACAGACGGCTGCAGTATTATTAAGCTACATCAAATGATTTTCTTATTAACACTGCAGCACCTGGAAGCAGCTTACTAAACTGAAGAGCTTAGTTGATGAACATAAATATTAAATGAATCTGATTGCCATTTTTCACCAGTTTCTGGACAAAACAAAAACAAGCGATTAAAGCTGCAGCAGGTTATTTCTATAAAGTGTTTGTTGTCTTTTTTGCTGAAGCTTGTATAGGCGAGAAAGATAGTTGATTGTTGAGTCTCATTCCCAGGCATCACATTTGGGACTCTGGGAATTAGACTATCTTCAAGCTTCCAACCCAAAATGTCTTTCTACTTTCCTTGGCTCTGATAGTTTGTTTTTGTTCAGGCCCAGTGAATTTTTGCAAATGCCATTAGGAGCACTTTTCAAAAAATCTGACAAAAGACATAAATTACTTACTGCAGCTTTAATATGAACATTGTAACATTATATATGACAGAAAATAAGGGGAAGCATAATAGGTCCCCTTTAAATACTACTATTAAATGATCAGTGATAGGACACAGGGAAACACATTAGATTAAAAAGCTGCTTTGTACTTGTTGAGCCAGATGACAGCGTTCAGGTCCAGGTGGTTGGTGGGTTCGTCCAGCATCAGTAGAGTGGGTTCCATGAAAAGAGCTCTGTGGACACAGAGCGGGGTATATGAAAACTAAACTTATAACAGGTTCATGTTGGACCAGTTCCATTCCATAGGTTTTTCATGGCGTACCTGGCAAGGGAAACTCTCATTCTCCACCCTCCAGAGAACCTCTTGGTGGGTCTGTTCTGCATCTCAGGGGTAAATGACAGACCAGCCAGGATCCTCCTGGCCTTGGCCTCAGCTGCTGCGGCACCAATTGCCCTCAGCTCTTCATAGACCTGTGGAGGAGGAGAGACAATGAGTCAGATCAAGAAAGACAGAGTTATAAACAAGACAAGTTATAAACAAGCCAACATGTTATCCAGATTTTTTGGATGTCAAACTAAAGGTGAGTGCATCTGAACTGTTAAAGGTCAAAAACAGACAGGGCAGGGAGGCTTGTGAAATCTGCGCTGGTGCTTCTGGTGGAATCAACTTGTGTGTCTTTTAACAGTTTCCCAGCTCTCAGCAATTATTGTGAAGTACAATTTTATCATTAAAAAAAAAAAATCACCAAAACTACAAAAAGGATGTCTTCCCTGTAGTACACTCATCCTTTAGATCTGCATTGATATATATTTTGGCACTTGTGGGCAGAAGAACCAGCTGTCAACACAACACTGACAACAAGTTGATATGGCAGACAGTTATTAGCACTTGTTTAGAGTTGTGTTGATAAATGGTAAATGGACCTGTACTTGTATAGCGCCTTTCTAGTCTTCTGAGTCTGACCACTCAAAGTGCTTTTACCACACGTGCCACATTCACCCCTTTCACAACCACATTCACCTCCCAGTGATGGCAAAAGTCCATCAGACAGAAACCATTCATACACATTCACACACCGAATGCACAGCAATCAGGAGCAATTTTTGGTTCACATATCCTTGCTCCAAGATATTCGACATGTGCAGGAGGAGCCGGGGAATCGAACCAACAACCTTCAGATAGAGGAGCGACCCGCTCTCCTCCTGCACATAGTGATGTTGTCATAAAACCCAAAAGAATGAGTTAAAAGGGCTACAAGGAAAGTCGGTTGTGTCCTGTTTTGAAGATAAACTTGCAAGAAAGCAGGAATAACGGATAACTCTCACTTTTTCAGACAAAGAAGCTCATTTACTGCTTTTCCTTTTATAATTTTGTTATTTAAGAAACTTTGTTTGTCGCTTGCAATAATCCACTGTTCTTGTTCTATGTTATGACTTTATTTTAGAAAAAATGAAATCAACTCTACAAACTAAATATTAACTAACTTAGCTAACAAAGCCGTCAATAAAATACATTAATAAAACAAAGCAATCATAAGAATTTTATGGCAAACCTGGCCCAGTATATTTCTAAATATTTGTTTTTTAAAGAAAAGTACAGTCCACATGACTATTGTAGACCCCCATAGTAACTCCGTGAGGAAAAAGCAAAATTATATAGCAGCATGTTACATGTGGCCCCAACTAAACGGTTACTGGTATTCTGACTGCCAAGTTAGCAGGCTACTTTCTTACATACCACCCATGGTAACGTACGCATCAGCGCCACACAGCCATCACCTTGTCCAACCCTCTCAGCCACACTGTCCTTCTCCCTTCTCAGACGACTGGAGCGTCTCTCCTCCTCCCAAAGAAGCCTCCAACGGCGGGTGTGCTGCCTTCAACACCGCCTGCACTGCTGGAGTTCATCGTGCTTACCACGCTCCTACAGAAACAAAGAAAGACCATGCGGGGTCAGTGGCCCGATAACAGCATGACAGAAGACCGGAAATGAGGGGAGCACATTCCTGAACAGGTCACTTACCCATGTTCAACACAGCAGAACAGTCATGTGGGGGGAATACTGAGAGCTCTGTTGGCTATGTGTTTTCAAGAATGGTCTGTCTTCCTTGCTGAAAGAGAGAAAAAAGCAAGAGACACACATTCACACACATTCACCTCGTGATGTCAAATCCATCGAACAAAACCAACTCATCCTAACACATTCACACACCGACGATATGCATCGGACAATTTGGGGTCTTCAGCCATCTTGCTCAGGATACTCGAACACATGGCGGGAGAGCCGGGATCGAACCCAATTCAATTCATCAACTTTATTTGTATAGGCGCCATTCATAACAAAGTTATCTCAGACACTTTCAATTAGCAAGTTAGACCGAAGCTCCTTTAACCATTTACAGAGAACCCCAACAGTAACCACCATGAGCAACAATGCAAGACGGGGCAAGGAAAAAACAACCAAACCCCTTCCGAGGGGGACGACCCGCCTGGCCTATGAGTCCACCCAGCGCCTTTATCAGGCCTGTCACTGTGAAGCACTCCCTGAAACGAAAACTGTGAAATACTAGTAGCTAAGTACCTGCTGACATGGCAATAAGAGACATGCACGCACAGTAATAATACAGTCATGAATATTTTAAAATAATACCAGGACCTTTCGGTCCCCCATTCTCATATCTCAGGAATTTTAACGAATTTATAATCGTCCTTTGCATTTGACCATCCCTATACACTTATCAAGAGGCAGTGGGGGCCTGGGGGCACAAATTGGGGGAAAAAAAGATATTTACCCATTTGGTCCAACTAAACCGTATCTTCTTCCCGCTACAATTAGAAGGTCAGCATTGATGAAAAGTTCCTTGCCGTGAGCAGATATGCTGAACCTCTCCAGCTAAAGGACAAAAACAAATCTTTACCAACAGAGACTGGTTCTGTAGTACACGTCTCCAAACTGCTTTTTCATTGTTAAAAGCATCTAAAAAACTTTAACACAAAGTCCTTATAAATAATTGTAATCAGTCTGTTACCTTGATATCAGAGGCGTTCTCCAGCATGGCCTGTCTGGAGGACATCTCAGCCTGGGAAATGGAGAAATCTCCCTCCAAGGCAATTCGAGGCACGAACACTGGCCACCTGACGCTCATACTCCATCTGTAACAATACACACCAACAAAAGAGGACGCATTCAAGATGAAATTAAAAAACAGAGTGTAATTTAGATTACCTATCTTTTTATAGGGCTGCAACCAGCCAGTATTTTCATCTTACATTCTCTGTCGATTGTTTTGATTAGATGATTATTCGTTTGGTCAATAAACTGTCACAATATAGTGAAAACGCTCATCACAATTTCCTAATGGTCAAGGTGACGTCTTCAAATGTCTTGTATTGTCTGACTAAAAGTTCTAAATATCAAACCAAAAAAAAAACAGATGAAAAAGGTAACGTTGCACACATCTTTAGCTGCCAAAGAAGATAAGATAAAAAATGTAAGCTCGTTTCACAAAATGAAAGAAATACATTTAAAAAGGTGTACGCAGCAGGATTTGTCCATTGTAAATGCACCATTCAACGTTGGCCCCCCTCCTCCGCAGCTTTGGTCGAGATTGGTTGAGTAGTTTTGTTTACAAATGCAAACAAAAGGGGTTGTTGCTTGTTTTTAATGCATATTGTTGTGTGTTCTTTGTGCTATGTTTTTTCCAGAATTTAAGGAAAACTTTTAAACAGTTTTTTTTTTTAGACTGAGTAAATAAAATCACTATGAGGAAATTAAGTAACACAACTACACAACTATATTCACAGACATGTTCATGACAGCGAATATAGTGATCACCTGCTTCTTTTTCTTCTTCTTCTCCTTTTTGCTAAGGTTAGCAAACGGGTCATCTTCCTGCTGCTTGGCTTGTTCTGCAATGACATCCTCAGCACTCTGATGGTTGGAGCCAGAGAGAAAGAAGTTAACACACTGATCCAAAGCACAGATGGGACAGCTTTGCAGAAGACAAACATACCATCATCATGTCACCTCCATCGCTCTCATCATCCCCCACATCTTCATCCTCACTGGGCAATCGCTCAGCAGGTTTTCCTTTCTACATGGAGAGAGTTAGATTACATCACGGTTAGCCAGAAGATGCAGAAAATTAGATAAAATGAAAATAGGCAAACCAACATCAGTGGTTATAACTTGCCTTTTGTTGCTCTTTCTTCCCCTTCTTTGGCTTCTTGTCTTCATCATTTTCTGGAGACTAAAAATGATTTTGTAAATTTTTTTAACCCAGCATCTAAATCCAATTTAAAAAAAACTGATATTACAAATGCATGCAATTAAAAAAAGGTGTCTTAAGCGAGATCAACACATTGCTCAAATTGCCAAATTGCTCCCCAGCATCGGTGTGTGAATGTGT